TAATGTGCCATCTCCGTCTCTAGGGCCCGGTTCCCCACGGATTAGGCCAAGAGACCCAAAATCCTTCAGTTAGCTAAGCCTTGAAAAAGACCATTGCGGCTACTTCTAAGAATCCCGACGCAAGCCATCGTGCATCTAGTTATACTAGGGCAGCCAGGCTCATCCACGTCTGGATATTCGGAGTGTAAAGTTTATCCTCCCGTCTTGGAGAGCTGACCCATATGGGTGTCAGGGAATTGGTTTACCCTCTCGCACTGGAGAGCAATTAGTTTACCCTCTCGCACTGGAGAGCATGGTTGGTCCCTCGAGGGGTGCAATTCCTGCGATGGGTCCCTAAGAAGGGCACGGTCTTCTTTTGAAGTGCTGGAGTGATCACTTGTTGTAAGCATGCAGCCGAGCCAAGTTGTGATTACTTCTGAATTCCTCATTGAAAAACGAGTGAAACGAACGAGAACTTAGCTGTAAGGTAGGAACTGCATAACAACTGGATAGTCCTCGACTTGTGAGGTGGTGCCCGTCGAGCTTCTTAAGTCTTCGGGCTTTGATGTAGTCGGAGGTCACACATGGTACTTCTTCAGATTGTAGGCGCTCCACTACTTTTCGATCTTTTTATCGTTTCATGGTAGCGGGGGTATAATTACTCTTACCGCCTATTCTGCTGAGCTTGTACGGACCTTTCCAGATGAGATCCATCTTCTTAGATGTTTCGGCCTGCCTATTGCCTTGAGGATATCTCAGCATGGACATATGCTGCTTGATGCCATATTTTTTGAAGAACTTCGCCAAATCTTTGCCCACGAATTGCAGGCCGTTGTTGGTGACGATGGATTAAGGGATGCCAAATCGGTAAATGATGTTCCTCCATATGAAGCGCTCTATGTCCGTCTGAATCGTGGTCGTCATGGGCTATGCTTCCACCTATTTGGTGAAGTAGTCGGTTGCCACGAACCACAGCTGCTCGCAAGCCTTTGTAGTTGGATGCGTCGTTGACATGCGAATGCCAGAAATCTCCATTAAGGGAATATGTGCAGCTAAAGTGTGCTCGACTGCATTCGGGGCATCGTTGGGTCGAGTTGTTGAGTTCGTCAGAAAACTTTGCATCTGCCAGGGTCTACGCCTTTATCGTCGCCGGTTTGGATTCGGCGGAATAGTGCGCCATGATGATGACTGCAGGTAACTGTAGAATACAGGTAGTCGGGCCCCCAGCTCTTCTCGCATGATGGTAGAGCTTATTGCTACTTTAGATACCGTCAAACATGCGAATAAGTCCTCCGCTGCTTCTAGGGAGGTGATGTCGGGTACTTCTTCAAGTCCTTGAATGTGCATTGGCGAGCCTCATCCCAAAGTGCATGCTTCTCTGCTAAAGCAAAAGAGTCTGCCAGAGTTAGATCTTCTTTCATGATCAATTTTCCGAATAGCGGGTGGTCTGCTGGAAGTCCTTTTTGGAAGGCTGTTCTAGCTATCGAGTCGTTGCATCTGACTATTTTTGCCTTCTCTACTTTGAACCTCCTCACATAGTCGCGAAGCGACTCCTTTGGGTTCTTCTTGACGTCGAACAAATGGTCAGATTTCTTTTTGATCGAGCGATAGGATGAATATTCTTTGGTGAAAACCAAAGAAAGTTCGTAGAAATTCCGGATGGATTGTGGCGGCAGGGTGTAGAACCAATCTTGCGCCTCGCCTTGTAGAGTGGTGGCGAATATCTTGCATATGAGATCATCGTTGTTTCGATAAAGGATCATTTCACTTTGGTAACGTTTTAAGTGTCTCTCCGGGTCTTCATCCCCTTTGAAAGATGTGAAATGTGGCATGCTGAACTCGCGTGGAGGCTCTGCCTGCTCAATCTCCTCCGTGAAGGGTGACATGCTTATGTTGGTTATGTTCCGTCGTAGTGCCTCGTCAGTGACCTCATTTGTGGAATTTTCTAAATTTCTAGCCATTATATTTTGCTTATACGTTTTATTAAAGAACCTTTGCAAGTAAAAAATTCTAATAATAAGAACGTATGAAAAATATTCAAATGGACTAAAAAATAAAGAAAAAACCTTTTTGTGCGAGAGTCTTCTACGAGTATGGATTTCAACTCTCAATGAAAGCACCAATTTGTGGATGCAAATTTCTTCCTCCTCGATCTTGGACGATTTTGCATCTACAAAACAATTAACACCTTAGGTTAAGGCCAAGAGCCTCACGCGCCCACGATGAATGGGGGGGCTTTGGCCGAAGAACCTCCGATGCCAAAGTTAGAATTTAGAGAGAAAGAGTGTTTAGAGAATTTTGGGATTTTTGCCAAAGTGTTGGAATTAGCTTTTTGGTGAGAATGAGAGTATATTTATAGGGATAGGAGGTGGCTAGGGGTTTTTAGGTTTAATTTAGGTTTAATTAGCCAATTTATTATGATAAATTTGCTAATTAAACATAAAGGGAATAAATGGATGGTTATAGAATCAATTAGCTAGCTTAATTGGGGTAGTAAAGTGGGAAAAGATAGGGAAGGTAGAAAGCTTAAGGGGATGGCCGGCCATGTGATGTTTTAGGGTTGAATTGGTTGTATTTTGTGGTTATTTGGATATAATGGATGATTTAATTGAGAATTAATGGGTTAATTAGGCAATAAACCCATTAATTAGCCAATTAACATAATTTAAAGGGAATGTGTTTGGGAATTACCTTGTAGAAAGGATTTGATGAGATGGACTTTGAATTGTTACCTATTTTGGGCACTTCTGTCTTGGTTGAAAGAGGGTTGCCCGCTGCTTGCGCGTAGGAACCTCGTTGTACTGCAAGGGTATTTTTTTCCTTTTTGTCCAAAAAAACCACGTGTCGCCTTGTGAATATTTTTGGCTCCACAACAATCTTAGTGCACAAAAGATTCTCAACCATAGATTTGAATTGAGTAAACACAATGAAAGCTTCAGACTTGTATTTAAGTGGAAAGAACCAACAATATTTGGAGAAATCATCAACAAAAATGATATAGTATCGGAAACCTTGAACAGAACTAACTGGTGATGGTCCCCATATATCAGTATGAAAACTCTAAAGGCTTGCTTGATGAACAAGAAACAGAAGGAAATGGTAATTTTGAACATTTTCCCATTGCACAACTGGAACACAAAGACTGATGGGAACTACCAGTGAAAGAAATACAAGAAGTGGAAGTAATCTTATTCATTATTCTAGATGAATGATGGCCTAATCTTTGATGCCATATATCCTAAGATGTCTTGGATGTTGCTGCAAAAGCATGTTGAGTACTAGCAGAAGAAATTGTAGTAGGAAATGGATAGAATCCATCGCGTACAGGTCCGTTAAAAAGCACCTTCTCCGAAGAAAGGTCATTCACAAGAAAGTGGAAAGGATACAGATGAACTGAGCATTGATTATCAAGAATGAATTTGTTGGCAGAAAGCAAATCTTGCTTTAATGCAGGAACATGTAAAACATTCTTAAGATCAAAGCAGTGAGTATTAGTAGAGGCACGAGAAGAGCCAAGATGAAGAATAGGCAAACCTTTGCCATCGCCAATTTATACCTGTTCAAGACCAGAGTAGGATTCAGGATTTTGCAGTTTGGCATAGGAGTTTGTCATGTGAGAAGAAGCTCCAGAATCAAGCAACCAGGTGTGTTGAGATGCAGAGGTAGTAGCACAGAAAACAGATTGGGATGGAGCATCAAAATTAGGGTTGAGGCACTGAGAACACTCCTTAGCTTCATGGTCAAATTGCTTGCAAATTTGACAAGTCAGTCTTCTTCCAGAAGTAAAGGAATTGGAATTGTTGTTGAATCTGAAGCCACGATTATGAGAATACCTCTGATTATTAGGTCTAGGGTAGTGATTACGTTGATTGTTACCCCTGAAATTTCCTCGATTCTGCGAATTTCGGAGATGTGAGCCATGGCCTTGATTGGAGGAACTCTGAGCAATGTAAGCCTAAGAATTAGGAGGATCAGTAGGTGTAGGCAAAATACTCGTAGAAGTATTGAAGGCTTGGATCGGTGCAGAGGAAAATTTCTTCCGATTTTTTATCTGAATTTCTTTGCTCAACAAAAGATCGTGTAGTTCATCAAGAGTTGTAGAATCGACTCGGAATTGAACAACATCAACAAATGAGTCAAATTCAGGAGGCAAACCATGAAGTGTGACAGAAATTAACTCAGAATCATCAACCGGAGCACCAGTGCTGGCCAAAGCGTCAGCAATTTCTTCAATTTGTTGAAGAAACAAGGCGGCGGAGGACTCGCCTTTGGTAATGGTGTGAAGCCGAGATCGGAGCTCATGAATGTGAGAGTGCGATGCCGTCGCAAGTCTTGATTCAAGTTTATACCATAGCTCGCGAGAAGAATTGACACCAACAGTATAAGGAATCAATGAATCAGAAAGAGTCGAATTTATCCAGATTAGGATATTCTGATCATTTTCATACCAAGAAACAAAATCAGGATTCAAGGTAGAAGTGCGATTTCCAGAGGAATCACAGAGGTACTTCGGCGGAGCCACCTGAGATCTATCGACAATACCGGTGAGATTATAGCGCCGGAAGATCAGAGCAAATAGTGCACTCCAGGTGAGATAGTTGGTGGTAGTGAGCTTAATCGGCACCATTGAACCAATATTCTGGATAGTAATGGAAGAAGGTGACGAAGAAACGGCTGGAGAAGGAGGAGAAACAGAGACATTATCAGAGGAAGGAGATGCAGACGCCGCCATTGATGACGATTAGGGTTACGATTTGGGGAAGAAAGAGGCGGTGCGAAAGCAGTTTAGGGAAAGGATCGAGAGAGAGTCGTGAGACAGATGGCGAGAGATACCATGATAAAAAAAATTATGATTATATTTCTTAATGAATAAGATTACAACAGATGGTTATATATACAACCAATAAACCTATGAAAAATGACAGCTCACCTAACTAATTTACAGCTCATGAAAATTAGCCATAACAGAAAAGTATCTTCTAAGTTTTGTCTTTTACAATATTAGCCTTAATACCCATTACCTTTGTAGATCTTTAGTAAAGAGTGTTGAGCCCTAGAAAGAAGAGGAAACAACGAGATAAGAACAAATAAATATTTTGAGCTTAAACATGTGAGATCTGTTTACAGGTAAATGGAGGCTTACTGGTTGTATTATGTTACCACCTGCAGCATGGCATCCAATGCAAGTTTTACGAAATAATGCAGCTCCTTTTTGAACATCTACGGCTCGTGCATGTGAGACTGCACAACAGCAACAACAACAACAACCAAATTTGATAAAATATTTGTTTCAATCTATATCCTTTTACCTGCAACGGGGTATTGTGTTCGAATCCCCCCTCGACCACATAGAGACTATCTAGATTCGAAACTAAACCGACTACAACTACTATTAAAGCACAGAACTACATGGTTTTAACTGATTAACCTATTATCTGTAGAGCAGCAGAGCCAAAACATCATAAACAAAGTTTACAAACATGCCCAACACCAAAGCATCACTGCATCAAAAGCAATGGCAGTGTTGGAAATTTGAGGGAAATGCAGGAGGAATGATTAAACTATGTACGGGAGGATAAACCCTGAGGAATTTTGTGACAAGTGTGTGGTTGGTTACTTAACACTAGTAATTACCAGGAGTGATGGAGAGTGGAGATAAGGTCAGAACTGCAGCCATTAGAGGGGGAGCCAAGCTCTTGAGAAACTCCCGTTCTTCTTGCTTTTGGGGAATTGGGTTGTGTCCTCCTCCTTGCTTCACTGCACCCTTTGAGAACATTCTCAAACTTCAGAATCTTCCATCTGCCAATAAAAAGAGAGGGAGAGAGATATTACCTTAGGGAAGCAACAAGTACCGTTACTGCTAGTAGATATCAGAGATGTAAGCTGCATCTCTCTCTCCCTCTTCCTCTCTCTCTCTCCCCCTCTCTCTCTTGGACGACACAGTGAAAATGTGCTTGAAACTTGCAGGCCCAAATGCAAAATAACACAACAATATATGCTCACGGTTTTTTTGTATTTTTTTTTCTCTTTTCTTATTAACAACTCTTTTTTTTTTTTTATTTGATAAAATTTCCATCTTTTTATTTGTTGTTGGACTTCATAGAGGAAAAAGGGTTTACACCACCAAAATGATAAATTTCTTCAAAATAAAATTAGTGTGTCAATATTATTTGTAAATTTTAACAAGAACAGACCAAAATTTTGAATGTTGTGTTATTCGTAAATAGGTGAATTATATATATATTAAACTTCAAAAGTACATAATATGTGAATAATACTAATTTTGATTTAAAAAGCTGCATACTTTGTTGTATCATTTTTACATTTACTGCAATAACTTCATAACATATACGTTTTAGATAACTTGTTTTCGCCAAGGTTGATTAGTAATTTTAATCTAAAATTATAAAAATTATAAATTTAATTACAAGTGATGTCATAGGTGGTGTTGTCAATGCCAATTTGTTTTATGTTTAAAGAGTTGTCAAAGACCAAAATTAATGAAAAACTTACCCACCTTATGGACATGGGTCATCTCAGGATCCATGTATCTTAATCTATCAAATCTATGTATCCGAATCATTGAAATTTAATCAAATGGTTAAAGTTATAATAAATTTTAAAATGTATTTATATTTGTAATCGTTAAATCAAATTTCAATAGTCCAGATACATAACTTTGGTGAATTAGGATGTCTCAACCTTATACGCCGTGTGACCGTATATAGAACCCGTCCAATAATTCTGCCGATTTGTCGTTTTGCGAGTTACATCTCTCTATATCTTGTCATCGTCTCCCCTACTTAACGCGGAATTGCATACCTTCCTTCACGGCTCAGGAGCCCTAATTTCCCCAACTTCCATCAAATTTCAGGCTCCAATTTCAGCATTCGACATCTGTTCAATTCGAAATTCGTAAGTTAGGGTTTTGATTGGGGGCGAAATGGCGATGCTGTTGGAGGATATTTTGAAGTCGGTGGAGCTCTGGTTGAAGCTCATCAAGAAGCCCCAGCCCTACGTGGACCCTCATCTCGACCCGGTTCTGCTGGTTCCTGGTATCGCCGGTTCGGTCTTGAACGCTGTCGATGAAGAGAGTGGTGCGGAGGAGCGCGTCTGGGTTCGGATCCTTAGTGCTGACTACACGTTTCGGACCAAGCTTTGGTCTCGTTTCGATCCTTCAACAGGTAAATTCGTTGATAAGTTTGAAATTCCTGGGAAGAAATTTTGGCTGCTTTGTGTTTGGTTGCTAAGAAAATTATAGAATTTAGAGAGGGAAAATTCTGCTGGTTCTAATTGCACGATAAAGTTTCTTGTGTATACGAGTTGCCATAGTTCAATTTTGTTTCTGAAGCTGAAATTGTCTAACATACAACTTTTTCATATGAAGGGAATGCTTTGTGATACAAATGTGATAACAAAGTATCGTCTTTTTTTTTATTTACATATACGTAATTTGAAAACCAGCTCTGACAATTTGCTGGTTAACTTTTAAGAGTTTGTTACTTCAATTCATGTGTGGCACATGTGCCCTACCTACAATGGTGTATGGCAGGGCACGAAAACATATCAGCTCTAGCTTGAATTGTTTGGAAAGCTTTCTAATGCATTGGTCAATATCCTTGCACTCCCTCACATGCATATAGGAAAAGCGGGTTTTCGATTGGAACTATATGAATGCATTATATATAATTACAGCGGTGCTTCTATGGAGCAATAGAAATAATGATCTATTTGTTAAACAGGTAAAACTGAGTCTATGGATCCAAAAGCAAGGATAGTGGTCCCTGAAGGTAGATATGGACTTCAGGCAATTGACGCCTTGGACCCTGACATGGTATGTTACTACATTGTGTGTTCTAAATTTGCATTACACATGTATAACATATTACTTAAAGAAGATAACTTTGATTTTTTATGGTTCTTTTCATGCATGCTCCTTATTATAGATTTCTTTGTAGGTTCCTTTTTTACACGCCAGACTGATATTTTATACCTTTTGCTTCTTTCCTTGCTAATTCCTACACCAAATGAAACTTCGTTTCTTCCCAACAACAATCTAGAACTCTCAAATAACCCTTTTATTTGTTTTCTATAATTTGTGCAAGCGGTTTTTTTTTTTGGCTATTTATTTGTTATAAGTGGATGATTCATTACATGCCAAACTGATATAGCAGTGTTGTTTAAGTGAAAACTTATAATAATAATAATTTAACTTATCAAAATTTCGTACAGTATTTAATGCTTATATTTCTTGTTATAAGAAATCTTATCTCATGATTTCTTGAGTGGTTTTCTGGAGTAATGAGGTTGAACCAATGATAAAATACTATTGACGGTTTGTCCCTTGCAGGTGATTGGACAGGAAGGTGTATATTATTTCCATGACATGATTGTTGAATTGACCAAGTGGGGTTTCCAAGAGGGGAAAACAATTTTTGGGTTTGGATATGATTTCCGCCAAAGCAACAGGTATCTGCTTTATTTGAATGCCACTTAAAAGTTCAAAAGATTTATTTGAAAGTTTATAAATGGTTTTCGCCCTTTCTCCAACTCAACATCGAATTGTGAAGGATTTGCTTTGTTTAGGTGTCCACCATGGTCATGGTTTTCAATATGGTTATGCTTTGTTGTCATTTAGGCTGCAGGAGACATTGGATCGCTTAGCTGAAAAATTAGAGGCAGTGTATGAGGCTTCTGGAGGGAAAAAGATAACCATCATAACTCATTCTATGGGGGGCCTTCTTGTGAAATGTTTCATGTGCTTGCATAGTGATGTAAGGAGTTCACTCTGCCTCTTGAGTAATAATATTCTTGTTCTTTTTCTTGTTTTGCTAAGGCCACCCCCCTTTCCTTCATTGAATCAAATGCAGCTTAATAATATGGTCTAATTTGTGTGTTACAAATTATATCCTATAATTTGATGCCATTTGTTTCACAGGTTTTTGAGAAATACGTGAACAAGTGGATTGCAATTGCTGCACCATTCCAGGGTAAGTGTTCATGTGCAATTATTATTTGTATAACAAAATGTAAACTGAAGTTTAGTTTGAAGTCAACCTCTAATAGCTAGTTTGAAGTGTATAACAAAATGTAATTTGAAGTTTAGTTTGAAGTCAACCTCTAATAGCTTGTATAATCTCAGTTGTTATGCTGCTCCTAGATTCATTTCTAAAGGTTTAACTATTCAGGTGAAAGATTAAACAAATGCTAATTTGTTGCTTTTCATTGTCGTGCAGGTGCACCTGGATATGTCACATCTACCTTTTTAAATGGAATGTCATTTGTTGATGGGTGGGAACAGAATTTTTTTATATCAAAATGGAGCATGCACCAACTGGTATGAGTCCATTGATATGGGCTGTTAACAACTTAACAATCTAGACCTTAAGCACATACACCCCATTTATGGAATTTGAAACAAAATCGTCATTTTTTATGGGGTGAAGAAACTTATTTGTTAGAAGACAATATTTTTAAATTAAAACAAAAAAAGAACATAAGATGGTAGACGTATTTGAAAGTATAGCATTTGACAAAAAATTCTTCATGAATTAGTTGGATTGTTAAAGGAAGATGCTAGTGGGTCCATAGACACACACATGTATTATATTCCAAGTCTCTGCATTTCACAAACATATATTTCTTCTTTGCATCCATTTTTTTTTTTCTTACTGATGATTGTTGCAATGTTCCAGCTTATTGAGTGCCCATCAATATACGAGTTGATGGCTTGTCTTAATTTTCAATGGGAACATCCTCCGCTTCTGGAAATGTGGAGAGGTAGGCCTGATGGTGACGGGAAATCTCAAATTATGCTAGAGTCTTACCCCCTGGTAGAGAGTGTACAGATTTTTAAGGAAGCTCTTGCAAATAATACGGTAAGCGCCACCATATATTATTTGGTGTTCTTTTGAAATGTAATTTAAAGAAGAGTTTGCTTACATGGTCCCTTCTCTCCTATGAGATGAGGTTGCATTGTCTCTTCTATCCTAGATTTTATTTTTATTTTTTATTCTTCTCTTTAAAGTTAGCCGACCCCACTTAGTGGGAAAAGGCTTTGTTGTTGTTGTATTCTTCTCTTTAAAGTAATAATAATATCTTTATAAATTGGTTTTCCTTTTAATGTACACTTGTATGGGTTATCTAAACTTGCACTGCATGTTTTCATCATGTCAGGTCAATCATAACGGTGAAGATATTCCCCTACCATTTAATATGGAAATCTTGAAATGGGCTAATGAAACACGCAAGATCATATCTCAGGCGAAACTTCCTCCTCAAGTTAAATTCTACAATATATATGGGATGAATCTCGAGACACCTCATAGTGTTTGGTAATACCTCTATGAAATGCTTTAATAAAAAATTTCTGCTGCTTCCCTGCTATTTTAGATAATTCTAGGATAAAAGTTTCAAGTAGTAATAAAACGCTTCCAGGTACGAATTTCTTTTTATCATGGCTTAGTTTAACATCTAAGTCACTACTCTGCAGCTATGGGAATGAAGGAACACCTGTCACAGATCTACAACAGCTGCGATATTTCCAGGTTATTATCGTTTCATGGTGGTGTTATGATGTGTTTGTATGATTTTCAAGGAGATTACAATTATAAAACCTAACCCAATTTCACATTTGATCAGCCTAATTATGTATGCGTTGATGGTGATGGGACAGTCCCAGTGGAATCTGCTAAGGTTTGTCAACTTACCTGCCCATACTTTAAACTGGATTTTCACTCATTCAAATCTGTTTTGGTCATATGAATTGCCAATATTAATAAGCTTCCATTTTTGTGAATTCCAGGCAGATGGGCTTAATGCTGCCGCAAGGGTTGGAGTCCCTGGCGAGCACCGAGGAATTCTCTGTGAGCACCATGTATTCCGGATACTGAAGCACTGGCTGAAGGCAGACCATGACCCGTACTACAACCCTGTAAACGATTATGTGATTCTACCCACTGCATTTGAAATGGAGAAGCACAAAGAGAAAGGTCTGGAAGTAACTTCTCTAAAAGAGGAGTGGGAAATCATCTCAGAATGCCAAGACGCTGATCACAAGAATTCTCATTCAGCCGCCGCTGATGAAAAGCCTGTGGTGAGTTCCATATCCGTTTCTGAAGTGGGAGCTGAGGCCTGCGCAACTCTTACTGTTCACCCTCAGAGCGAGGGAAAGCAGCATGTGGAGCTGAATGCTCTAAGTGTGTCAGTCGATGCCTGAATATAAGTAACGCATCCTCGGTTGTATTTCATGAAACAATGCTCTTCTGTATATATCCATTCATGTGCTCGGATTCGCTTGTGTGATTGTAACGTGTAGATAGGAGCTGCTCATGAAAACAGAGCTGCATTCTTTCGTGAATGTTGGATATGCAGGTGTCCTTGTATATATAACAAGACCTTCAACTCATTGGCAGATAATACAATGAGTTGTTCTAACTGATGTCAAATGACACTTTTGTGCCTTATTTCTTCTCCCTTCGTTTATTGTTCACGCGCAATAGGGTCTTGTATGCGGGTTTAAGTAGTTACGTATATAACGATGAAATGATTTGTCCTAAAATTTCGATGTTATCTTATTTAGACGAGAATGGTGAAGCACTTGATCATCTTCTTTCAAGACCATGCAATTCGACGAACAATAAGAGTCTGTTTGGTACTCTACTTGAATTCAATTTTTTAAACTCAAAAATAATTTTCAAGTTTTAGGCCTTAAAACCTAGTTTGGTAGAATTATTTTCAAAAACTGAACTCAAGATTAATTCAAAAATATAGTCTATTATCTAAAAACATAAAAAGTGAGTTTTTAAACTTAAAACCCACTTCTTTCTTTTCTCTTCCTCCTTCCCTCTCACTCCAAATCTATCTCTCTTTTCTTATTTCTCTTTCCTCTTTTTATTTTTTATTTTTTACCTCTTTCGTATCTTCTTCAATCCGCTCTCTTCATTCTCTCCTCTTCATCTCTATCTCGTCCGATCCTCTCCCTTTTTTCTCTTTCCTTCAATCATCTCTTACTTTCTTTCCTCCTCTCTCCTCTTTCTCCCTCTCCTGCGACCCGCTCATTTTAGATCTTTTTGTCTAGTTTAAGTTGTAAGATTTAAAATTTTTAAATCGCAAACCAATCAAGTTTTTAAGTCTTAAAGAAAATTGTTTTCAAGAAATGTTTTGAGAAATGATAAAAATTTTCAAATAAGATACCAAACAAGCCCTAATTAACTTGCGCATGAAGAAATTTAACTTTTAATTGAACTACTGTGAATCGAGTGGGGAACTTGCTCAATGGATTTCTCTATGTATAGAATAAATCAAGACTTCAAACTGAATTTAAGCGCGCCGGAAATCTATAAAAATCGTGGTTGAAATCGTTGAAATATATTACGAAGTACATAAAATGTGTGTCAAAAATCGTGTGCCATTATATATTACAAAACTTTACACATAAGAGGATGAATCTTCACTGTATGGAAATCAGCTAGCATAGACAGAATTAAGGAAAGATTATTGAGATTTGAGAGACCGGCCGGTCGGTGCACGCACGAACCAGATACAAATCAAATTTATAGTTACAAACGACGGATGATCTTCTAAAAAATTAAAAGATTGAGCAGGGCAAGCAGCATAAATCGCAGAGACAGCAGCAAAACATGGCAGAACAACTGCAATATATATACATAAGAAATAGTTAGTTGATTTTGATTACATATTTTACAGAAATTAATTAATTAAGTAGGAGGATATATTAAGAAAGAATGTTTAATTACCATCCGGCCCAAAATCCACCACCTCTGTGATGGCGATGAGATTTTGGTGGCTGTTGCTGCTGCTGATAGGGAAGTGACTGTTGCTGCTGCTGATAGGGAGGTGGCTGTTGCTGCTGCTGATAGGGAGCTGGCTGTTGCTGCTGCTGATAGGGAGGTGGCTGTTGGTGCTGCTGATAGGGAGCTGGCTGTTGGGGGTATCCAGCTCCAGGACCATCATTTTTCATAGGGTAAGCAACTGGTGGTGCAACAACAACATATGGACCGCCTTGAGTACTAGTATTGTATCCTTGATGAATTTGTGGTGGTGGCGGATACGACGGAGGCAGATACCCTTGGTATGCGCCGGCAGGCGGCGGAGGGTATGAGATGGGGGGTGGTGGATATACCGCTGCAATTCGGTACGTCAAATCAAATTATTATTTTGTTGAAGATAATCATAAGTACTAATTAATATTACTACAACCACTTAAAACAATTTTGTAAATATGTATGGAAGATTTTTACCTGGAGCCTGATTTTGATGGTTGTAGTGACTCATGCTACAGATTTTTTACAGAAAAAATGAATTTAATTAGGAGAATGCGGATTTAGGGTTTTGAGAGCATATGGTTTTATGTATATATAGTTGTTTAGTCCTTCAATATAATTTTTCAGACTTGGCGGCCCCAAACGCGTGAATATATGAAGTTTCGTTGCATTTGTAGGAGAAATCTGAAATTCTGAAATAATCTATCGCCTCCATTTCTCCCTCCCTCTCTCTTAAGGCAGATTCTCTGCCATTCCACTTTCCGTGCCCTTCCGTGCCCTCCTATTTTGTGTAGTCACAGTTAAGCCATCAACATTTTATATTATTTTTTATAGAGATAATAAGACAAAAATGAATAGTTATATAAAATGTTGACGTGACTTAACCGTGATCACACAAACAGGAGGGCACGGGAAGTGGGAGGGCAGAGAATCTACCTCCCTTACATAAAACTCATGCAGACCTATCAGTTTTTGACATGTGGCATACTGACCTGCTCCTCCTTCCTGGTTGCTTGTTTGTTTGTTGGGTGGTTGAAGATGCTTTCAAAGTCAAAGGAGAAGCTTCTCTGCTTTATTTCCATTCAAACTGTGAAGTCTTGAAGATGATGGAGAGAATAAACACAATAGGGGCTCGTTTGTTGCACCGTGTGATGTGGGAGTAGAATAGCTAGGATTAGTAGTCCCGTGCTTGCTTAAATAGTATTAAATTGGATTCAGTTTGACAACTGCTCCACTAAGGTTTCGTTATTAACTTTTTAGCACACATATCCCACCATTTGTATAGTAACACGTAGTGTACCATCCCGTGTACTGGTTACATTGAAAAATCTCTCATCACTAAGGCTTCGTTATTAATCCCGACCGAAAATTTGGTATTAGACGGGACTAGAAAGAAAAGGAGGCTTCCGATTGCACCCCACCCCATCCGCGCTTCACTTAAAAAAATTGCTCTTCTAGATGGACAGCAAGAACATCGGTTTAAATCCTTACATATACCTTACTTCTAAAACTTTCGATCGAGGCTACAAAGTAGAAGTGAAGAAGTCCATCAGATTACAATTAGGCGGATAAAGACCCCCGTTATGAAAGAACGGTAGCTTGCCGAGAAGTGGGTTGCTCGCTCAAAAGCTCCGGGTCGATCGTGGGTAAGGTACAACTGGATTGAAGAAGCCTTTCTAGCCATGGAAATACATGTTGGAGTATAAGCCCCAACCCTTCCGTTTGGTATAAATTTACTTCTTAGATAAACATTGGTATAAATGAGTTTTCAGTATGCACATCCAACCATTTATTACTTTGATGTCTGTCATAATACTAGAGCACATAATAGAACTTCTATGGTATGTAACATCAATCCAATCTCTCAACTTAACACCATCTCTAAATACAAAATTGGATGTAGTTTCATGCCAAATTAACTAAATCATTAGCAAACATGTTAGCTTCTTTGGAAATGTGTGTGTATATTATATAATGGTTAAAATTGCTATCTGCTCAATTAAATGTTACAAACCGATGGTAGCAAAGAAAGAAAAGAAAAAGCAGCAGCAAAACTTAGTGAGTGAAAACATTAGAGAGGTTAAAGTTTTTTTTTTTTTTTTGGGGGGGGTGTAAAATATGAAGGTAAAAGTAAAAAAAAGGGAGGAACAAGTGTCCAAAGTGTGTGGAACACAAAAAGATGCTTCCACCTTCATCACCTGATACCCTTGAGCAAATTTCGTGGCAGAAACACACTGCAAGTTAATACTGAGGAAAAGTAGCAACGCCTTAATCTTCGTTCGGTTCAAATGGGCAGGTCTCTGGTTTTCTCCCCAAACGTTCCTCTGAGAATTTCTCAAATACCCAGATCAATTTTACCGCCCAATAGACCTAACCACTCACTTTTACTGAACTCAAAGCAAAAACTGCAACATGGGTTTCAAAGATTTGGACTTTCAGTTGCCAAACCGGCGAGAAGTCTCTGCACAAAGGCTGTGTTGTCTGAAATTCCGAACCAGGAGCTGTATGTGAAAGTTGGCGCCAATTCAACTGGACCAATTCCAATTGGTCAGCTCGTTGGAGTGGTTGAGAAGGCTGCTAAGACTGGCGCTGAGGTTTTCTCTTTAGCACTCTGCTTTTGTGATTCTTTGAATGTGCCGGCATTTCGTAAATTCTGTAATTTGAAGAAGAACCCAGATGGAATTTGCGTTGTTTCTTCTGGGGAATGCTTGAATTTTATTGTTTTTAATCCTGTTGAGTTAGGTTAATTTGATTTTGGAAGCATTGTTGCCTTTTGATAATGCCTTTGTTTGCTCTGAGAGTGTGTTAATTTACTCCGAAAACGCCTTTTGCCCGTTAAATATATGTTTAGGGGATGAAAGTTGTTAAATTTCATCCTGATAGGAGTTAGCAACTGCATATAGTTAAATTATTTCCACTAAAAAGCGGTATTAAAGGAGAAACATTGCCGTTGCGATATATCATATTATTGTTTTGTTGCTAGAAAGTATGTTGATTCACGCGTTATCTGTAGTATGTGCCGTTTTGTCCATTATTGAATCATCATGAACTTCTTATAGCTTATGGTATTTGCATCTTTTTTTCAGGTTGTGATGGAGGCTGTTAATAAGCCTCGGAATATTACCTATAAAGGACTAACAGACTTAGTCACTGAGTAAGAACTAAATCGACGTGCTTTCACTAGCGGCGTATGCTTTCATCTTTAATTGACTTGTAATGATAACACTTTATAATATAGAGTAGAAGTTTAAGGTTGAACCTTTTACTTACAAGTAAGATTCACTAATCATGAAGGGAAATTCACTTATCAGGAATTTTCGTGTGATATGACAACAATTTGCAGAACAGATAAAAAGAGTGAAGCAGCAATTTTAGAAGTTGTGAGAAAGAACTTCGAAGATCACCTTATTCTTGGAGAGGAGGGTGGAATAACTGGAGATACATCATCTGATTATATGTGGTGCATTGATCCTTTAGGTTAGTATCTTCTAAGGTGCAGTATAGCTATGCTTGTGCATATTGGGGTTTTCAAGACTCTATCAAGTATGATATGGTTTCTGATATTGGTGTTTCGGAACATGATTTACTATAAATCAATTACCAGGTTGTTTCAGCTTTCATAATTCTTGCGTCAATATTTTTGACCATTACTTTTTCCATAACTAATAGTAGCTGTAAACCTTATGTTTATATAGATAGCCGAAAGTTCATATGAGTGAAAGTGTAGAGATGGACATTCTAACGGCTGAAATAAAATTGGAAAGATATTTTAGGGTGGTAGCTGGGGTAGCGTTTTATGTCCAGATACCCGTTATTTAACTAATAGTAGCAGTAACTTGAAAATTCCTTAGTTTTGTCTTATCTAACATCTGATATCTTTGTAGACGGAACAACAAATTTTGCACATGGTTATCCGAGCTTTGCAGTTTCTGTGGGAGTTCTATTTCGAGGAAAACCTGCTGCTGCTGCTGTGGTACTGATCACATAGAATAGATTTTATTTGACATGTTGCTTGCATGATTGCATAATGTGTTAAGATGTCTATTTTATTTTCTTGTACTCCCCCCTCACATATGGGCCTCACTATTAGAGTCAAAAGTGTTATATTTCAAGGTTGCAATGCAATGATTTGAACTCAGGATCTCTTACTTTGTTACCATGACAAATGTTATTGATTTATCATTATTCTCAAAAGCTCAAACTGTTATGTGGACCAACAATTATGTTATACTATAATGTCTATGATTGACATAGTGGGGAAATAACGTGTTGGTTTTCCGTTATATTTTCAGGTAGAGTTCGTTGGGGGGCCTATGTGTTGGAATACTCGCATTTTTTCTGCTAGTGCTGGTATGAAAGTTCTGTCTAAATAGTTGTCTCTGCTTTATTTGATTTTCTAAGTATACAGTGGAGCTTTGATTGATAACCTGTGTTATGAACTTATGATAGGTGGGGGAGCATTTTGTAATGGCCAAAAAATTCACGTGAGCCAAACAGATGAGGTCAGTTATTGATTTTATTAGAAGGAAAAAAGCGTTGAAATTTGTAAGAGAGAATGATGAGCTATCTCATGTGTCAAGGCGTACTCTGTAAAGGTGAAACCATTTCATATTTCATTGAGGCTCATACTTTTCCATACTTCAGGTGGGACGATCACTTCTTGTTACTGGATTTGGTTATGAACATGATGATGCATGGATCACCAACATAGAGTTATTTAAAGAGTTTACCGACATCAGCAGGGTATATGTTCACCTTTTTTTCAGTATCAAGCTATTTTTATTTGTGCTTTAGGATTAATTAACTTCCTAGTTCTCTCTCTCTCTCTCTATGAGTTTAACCCTTTGTTCGCCTTGGTTTTATCCCCATATTGTAATGTTCAGGGTGTTAGAAGGCTCGGTGCAGCTGCAGTAGACATGTGCCATGTAGCTCTTGGGATTGTAGAAGCATACTGGGAATATCGGCTAAAGCCATGGGATATGGCAGCTGGTGTTTTGGTAATGTGTTTTCTCACACATGCATCTGTCAGGGTTTACAGCATAATTATTTTAATCCACAAGCGGTCAAATGAATGCTTATGTGGAAGTATTCATTGTTATAGCACACTCAACAGAACACCTTCATGTTTTCGTTTTGTTAAAACATAATAGTGGCCGTAGCATTTTCTTTTTTATCTCTTAATTTTAGTTTTATTGTTTTTCTAGCAATTTGGTCCGATTTAACTAGCATAATTCTATAGCAATTTGGTCCTATTTAACTAGCATAATATGATATTGTTTCTTTTCTAACAATTTGGTCCGATTTAACTAGCATAATTCTATACCAATTTGGTCCAATTTAACTAGCATAATTCTATAGCAATTTGGTCCTATATAACTAACATAATATGATATTTACTTAGTTTAACTTTCAATACATGGTAAGTTTTTTTTATTTTTTATAGTCTGGTTGTACTTAATACTTGGAAAAAGTTGTGAATACTCAAAGTAATCATCAGGAATCAAGCACGTAACGAAATAATATGTCAATGAATAGTTTATTCATGATGAATATACAAATAGTAGACTTTCTGTCATTTACATATCCTTTACATTTTTATGGCAAGTATTAGGAAGTGTCGTGTAGGAGTAGGA